CGAGGCAGTGCCCTTAGCTTCCATCGAAGCAGACACCGTGGCCGATGCGCTTCCTGACCATTTTCAGCCGAGTGGGGTTCCCCAAGGAAGTCTTGACAGACCAGGCTCCAACTTCATGTCGGCCCTGCTCCGGTGCTTGTGGGAGAAATGGGTCCGGCACGACTGGGCCTCAGCTTATCACTCCCAGTCCAATGGGCTGGTGGAGAGGTTCAATGGGACGCTAAAGATGATGCTGAAAACCCTTATGAACCAGCACCCGTAAGACTGGGACAAGTACTTCACCTCACCTGCTGTTCGCGCAGTGGAGGTGCCCCAGGAGTCTACCGGATTTTCGTTTTCGAACTGTTATATGGCAGGAGGGTGAGGGGCACCCCCCTTGACCTGATGAGAGACGAGTGGGAAGGGAAGGCCAGCTACCCATGGAGAGTCAGTGGTGGAGTATGTCCTGATCTTCCAGAGAGACCAGCTGAACTCATGGGCCTGGCCAGGGAGAATCTGGCCAGAGCCCAGAAGAAGCAGAAGGTCTGCATGACTCGCACGGCAAGGGCCCGTGCCTACGCCACCGGGGATCCGGTGATAGTTCTCATCCCAGTGAGAAAGAAACAAACTACAGGCCGCCTGGGAGGGCCCTTTCAAGGTTGTCAAGCAGCTCAATGAGGTAAACTATGTGGTGGAGTCAACAAAACCGGGGCGACTCACCGCCGGGTGTACCATGTGAATATGATGAAGCCATATTATGCCAGGGGGAATGTGGTGTTGGCTGTGTGTGGACAGTGGGAGGAGCAGGGAGATGGCCCTTTAGTAGATCTATTCCCTGGGACCGGAGCTGGTTCCCCCTGGACACAATTCCCCTCTCGGATCAGCTAACTCCCCTGCCCAGCAAGCTGAGGTCAGGGGGTGCTGCATCCGTACTCGACAGCTGTTTTCCAACCAGCCTGGACGCACTATCTGACTGTCCACCGGGTGCAGACAGGGGTCGCACCCGCCCGATAAGATGCTCCCCTTCCGAGTCACAGGGAAAACTGCTCCAGGACCTGGGAAAGAGAGGACCGGGACATGCTGGCTTTTGGGGTGATCCAGCTCATTGCCAGCTCCTTGGGCCTCGCCGGTGGTGCTGGTCCCCAAAAAGGACGGGTCGGTCCGGTTCTGTGTGGACTATCGGAAGCTCAATGCCATCACTGTATCTGATGCGTACCCCATGCCCAGGCCGGATGAACTCACAGACAAGCTGGGAGGAGCTGGGTACCTTACTACCATGGACCTTACAAAGGGCTACTGGCAAGTGCCGCTGATGCAGATGCCCGGCTGAATGCCTTTTATCACCCCTCTGGGGCTCTATGGAGTTCCTGACCCTGCCTGTCGGTCTTCAAGGGAGCGCTCGGCCACCTTCCAGCGCCTAGTGGACCAGCTTGTTAATGCAGGAGGATGAAAAGGGGGAGAGACGCCCATCTCCCTGACCTGGCTGCACCAGATGAAAGGAGCCAACGCCAAACTCCTGAGATGGAGCCTGCTCCTGCAGGGATTACCGACATGGACGTGGTCCACGTGAAGGGAAGTGCCAACCTGATAGCGGACGCGCTGTCTCCGGGAGAGGGCCCCGAACTTCCCCAGGTCACTGGTCACAGTGACCCCCGCTCAGTTCAGTCTCGAAGGGGGGAGAGATGTGATGCAGCAGGGAGGGGGAGTGTTGGACCTGGGGAATGCGGCAGGGGGGTTTCACTGGGGATGGAGACCTGAGAGCCTGTCACCTGAGCTGGGAGGGGGAGGGGGAGGTGACACCTCTGCCCAGGGAAGTGAAGACAGGCTGCAAGAGGGAGCCTGCTGGGGGGTTTAGTTTCAGTTTGGTGCTGGGTGGGGAACACAGGGAACCCCAGGGCTGGGGTCTGAGCTCCCTGCCCCCCCCCAGAAGGACTGGACTGAGGGGTCCTGGTTGTACCCACAAGCTCTGTTTTAGACTGTGTTCCTATTGTCCAATAAACCTTCCGCTTTACTGGCTGGCTGAGAGTCATGGTGAATCCCAGGAAGAGGGGTGCAGGCCCCGGACTCCCCACACTCCGTGACAGCCACCGCCGCAGTGCATGTTCCTGCAGGATGGAGGGGACCCAGGGCAGCTGCTGGACTTCCAACTGCCCTGGCTTAGGGGGAAAGGGGGTTTCTATCTCTGCCCTCCCATGCCCTCTACCCCCCACTTTACTCCCCAGTGCTGGCCTGCCCCACATGAGCTCAGGGCAGCAGCAGCAGCAGCTCGGATCTGGCTCAAGGTGACACCACAGGACCCACGGCAGGGGAAGCGCTCCACCTGGGCTCTGGCAGGGGCATTTAAACCCAGGGGCTTGAGCCTGGCCTGGCTCTCTCCCCCACCCCCTCCCCTGCGACTGGCAGCACCCCCGCCCGCCCCCAGCAGAACCCACCTGGTGCTCCTGATGGGGCGGGAGCCCTCACGACTGTCCTGCTGGCCCCACGCGCTGGCCTGCCGGCGCAGTGGGTCAGCCCTAGGAGACTGGAGCCAGCCCCAGTTGGAGCTTGGGCCAAGGCACTTTGGTCTCATCTGCACGTAAAAAAGTTGTGCCATTTACCTGCCCTGGCGCAGCAAGCCCCGCTGTGGATGCACCTGCCCCAGGAGCTGGTGAAGTGAGGCAGGGCCCCTTTGCCCCAGGGCTGCTCTGACCGCTTGCCAGCGAGTGGGGTGGGCCACTGCTCCCAGCAAGGCCGGCACGAGCCCTAGTGTAGACGCAGTTCAGTCACCAGAGCTGGGCCTGCAGCAGCAGGGCTGAGCAGCTGGGGAACCTGCCCTAGGCCATTATGGACACACCCGCGGCTCTGTCGGCCCCCGCCGAGGGGCTCCGCGGGTTCGAGCAGACTGCCCGAACCCAGGGCTGGCACCCACATTCCCACGGCAGGGAAACCCCACAGCCCACACCACCACTGCTCTACCCAGGAAACGGAGCAGGGACCAGACCTCAACAGCACCGGGACCCATCTGTCCAGCGCAGCTCACTCTGTTCCGTCAGCACCCCGTGCCGGGCCCGTTTCTCCCCGTGCCTGTCTGTTCGGACACACATGGGTGGAGTTTCCATTTACCCACCACCACCTGGCACCCTTCTACCCACTGCTGCCCCCCGAGAGCACAGCCTTGCCCCCAGGTGCCATCCAAACTTCGTGCCGCTACAAAACATCCATCCTGTCCCACCACGATGCTCCGGCTCGTATGGGGGCCCAGCAGGCGGGGGCCGAGGCGTGGCTGAAGGCCAAGCTGGAGGATGCAGGGGGTTGCGGGGAAGGGGAATGGGGTGAATCCAGCAAGGGGGGTGACTGGCCAGGAGCAGTGTGAATGGCAGAATCTGTAGCCCCATCCCCGGGGCTCAGGATCACACAGTCAACATGTGCCGAGCTGGGGGCAGAACCCAGGAGTCCTGCACCAGGGGCCAGCTGCCAGGTCCTGTGCTCCAGAGGCAGGCGGCACCCCATCCCCCACCGGCCCAGGGAGGGGGCGAGATTCAGTGCCTGCCCCCACTTCTTTCAAATCAGAGTGTGGAACGGGCACAGTCCGCCGGCCAGGATTAGAGCTAATGGGATTTACCATTTCAGCCAATATCCCTTGGAATACAGGACCGGGGGCGGGGTGGAGAGCTTTTCTGGCTCCAGATCTCCCTGCCCCAGAAGCACCATGGCTCCCCTAAGCTGTTTCTAATTAAAGTCAGCCCTAGCCTGTTCATCACCCCTTCCCCCAGCCCGCCCAGGAGACCAGGCTTCACTGGCACGGATGGTGGCAGGGGCGGGGGTAAGGGCACAGCTCGCACCAGATCCAGGCCACGTACAGCTAGTCCCATCACAGCCAGTCCTTGGAAGTCCCAGCCCCCCCCCCCCCCCCCCGCTCTAACCCACTAGACCCTACTCCTCCCAGAGCACGGGACAGAACCCAGGAGTCCTGGCTCCCAGCCCCCCACTCTAACCCACTAGACCCCACTCCCTCCCAGAGCAGGGGACAGGAACCCAGGAGTCCTTGGCCCCAGCCCCCGCTCTAACCCACTAGACCCCCACTCCCCTCCCAGAGCAGGGGACAGAACCCAGGAGTCCTGGCTCCCAGCCCCGCCCCAACCCACTAGGACCCCACTCCCCTCCCAGAGCAGGGGACAGAACCCAGGAGTTCTGGCTCCCCCTGCCTGAAAGAGCAGTTGGGAATCCCAGTTCCGCTGGCAGCCCCAGGAGGGGAAAGAAGCGAGGCAGGGCCAGCGTTACATAAAACATGTTTCATATTCAATGGGGGTACAGGAGTCCGCGTATCCAACACTCCTGAGCTGTGGGGGCGCAGGTGGTGCTATACACACGGGCCACGTCCCAGGGCAGAACCACGGGCAACATGTCACACCAAGCACAGACCGGGGGGTGGGGGATATAAATACATGTGCTGGGGAGGGATGACAGAGGTCCGCCGCCCCGGGGCGGGGGGGTGGGGGGCGGGATGTTCTCGTTACAATCACTGTGCTGCCCGGGGGGGAACGGGGGACACTCAAGGCGCTGGCGCGTTACTTGCTAATCGCTTCCCCTGCTGGCTGGTTAGGTGGCTCCCCAAGCTGGGGGAGTGGGTGAGGCCCACTTCCTCCATCTTGGGGAAGAGGGATGGGGGGCACATGCATGACTGGGCATGTGGGGGGAGGGTGCAAAGAAAAAATTAATATACCCCTTGCCAACCAGCCCACCGAGGAACAGCAACCAATTACCCAGCCCAAACTGAGCTAACGGGCTCCCACCACTCGCCCCTGGGGGACAGGATCCCCAGGGCTACCATCCTTCTGCTATGGGCAAGTCCTGGGGGGCAGCGGTCCCTGATGTGTCTCCCTAAACTCCTGCTCAGCCCAGCAGGCGCCTCTCGGGGTGTCCCCACAGCAAGCAGTCGTGATAATGGGAGTGACCCCCTGCTGCAGAGGCGGGGGCTGCTGCAGGGGGAGGAATCCTGCCTCTTGAAGTGACATGATTTGGTGTCGGGGGGGGGAGGATACCCAGGCCCCCAGCAGGGCCCTGCTGAGCTTGCTCTTGCTCCGGGGTGACTCGGCGGGGGTGTGTGTGGTCATTTAGCAGCGGGGGGTGCTCTTTGTGCACTGCCCCAGTGGAGACGCAGGGAAGCTGGGGCCGGATAAGGGGCCGCAGCTTCTGAAACCCTGGGGGAGGGGGGTGGGGCGCGAGGCTGAGTGGCAATTTCCAATTCTGGTCCCGATTCTGCCACTGAATCCACACACCCCGCCCTGGCCCGGCCCCTTGGGAGCGTTCACCACCTCTTGCACAGAGACTACACTGGCCAGTCCCCCACTGCTCTTGCCAGCCCCCCTTGTGTCTGTGGCACAGTGTGGTGCGGGGAGGGGCAGGGGAATGCGTTGGGGGGAGTGGCAGGGGGTTTTCAGGGCACATGCAGCAGGGAGGCTGGGGGAAGGGGCCACGTTGCCAGCAGGGGGCGCTGCCCTAGCAAGTGATTCTAAATCCCCCCCATGAAAGATGGAAAGTGATGAGACCCAGAACCGACTCCCCCAGCTGCCCTCCCCTGCAGTGCCTTCCACAGCACAGACCAGGCAGCCCCCCACACAGAGCTTAAAGCTGCCTTGAGGAATTCACCGTGTTTAGACTCACGCCACAGGGCACCAAGAACAACATAAAAAAACAACACAAAAGAAAGGCCACTGCCACACGCAGGTCCGTCCGCGTGCCCCCCGCCCCCCCAGCCCTGGGCAGCAGGGGCCTGCCCCAGCACGAAGCAGATGCCCCCCGCCCCCCTATATATTTATATATCTATATATTCATCACACACACACACAGAGATCCGCAAACCTCGGGGGCGGGGGGGACCAGAACTGAGACCCCAGATCAAACCCACAGCAACCGGTGCCGGAACGAGCAAACCCAACGAGCTGGGGAGGGGGGGGGACGCAGCTCCCGCCGGGCAGCCGGACCTGGTCCTGCCAGCCTGCGAGGGGGTGGGGAGAGGGGTTGCGGCTCTCGGGCCACTTCTTGTTCTTCAGCTACACAGCCAGTCCAGGCCCTCGCAGAGCCCGTCTCGCTGGTGGCGCACGTGGCCTGGATGTACCAGTTGCGATGACGCAGGGAGTGCAAGCCCAGCTTGTCCGTGATCTCCGCCTCGCGTTCATGGCGTTGGGCAGGTCCTGGGGGGCAGAGGGGGGCGGGGGGGTTACCAGCCTGCCTGACCAGACACCACGGCGACAGGCACGTCGCCCGCAGAGAACTCCGTGCCAGGGCGGCCATGGCTGGAGGGGCCCTGGGGGTGGACGGCACCCACCTGCTTGCTGGCGAAGACGAGAGCACGGGCGTCCCGCAGCTCGTCCTCGGTCAGCATCCGCATCAGCTCCTCACGCGCCTCGTTCACCCGCTCCCGGTCGTTGCTGTCCACCACAAAGATCAGCCCTGGGGGGCGGAGGGTGGGCACTGACACCAGGCACCGGGGGGAGGGCTTGCAACTCACAGACCCACAGTTAGGAAGCCCCACTCGCTCCGGGGCTGTGCAATGACAGAGTGCGCCCCAAATCTCTTCCTGGGGGTGACAGTGCACCCCAGGACTCCTCCTCACCACCCCATCTTGAGGGGATGACAGGGTGCACCCCCAAACCCCACCTCACCACCCCACCCCACCTTGGGGGGTGACCATGCATCCCCAGACCCCTCCTCACCACCCCACCCCTCTAATGGGAGGTTGAACACCCTCTTCCCCCACCCACTCAAACCCATGGCGGGGCTGTGGGGGGCAGAAGAGAAACAGAAACTCTCTAACCCCCCCCACACACACACATATACTCAGACAGCCCTAGACTATCGCTGGACAGGGGAGGGAAGGCCCCAGGAGGGGGCACAGAACAGGCCGGGCTCAGGACCTAGGGGCAGGAGGGATCTGAGGGGGGCGGGGGCCCCACACTTCTGGGTGTTCTGGAAGTAGTGCCGCCAGAGCGGCCGGATCTTGTCCTGGCCGCCCACGTCCCACACGGTGAAGCTGATGTTCTGTACTCGACAGTCTCCACGTTGAACCCTGCGGGGGGGGAGGTTAGCCACAGATGTGGGGCAGCCAGCCCTGCCCCCAGTGGGGGCTCCGCCTCTTTGCCTCGGGCACGTCGGCCAGCGAGGGGCACTGCTCAGTGACAGCCACCGCCGTAGGGTCTCCAGGCACTGGAGTGAGACCCAGCAAACCTA